TATGCATGTTCCATTGTTAAGTTATGCAAAGTCAGGATGGTACTGAAAGTTTTTGTCATGCTTGCTTCATATTCTTTTTCACTATCTTTACAGTAACAATGAGGGTTTTGTGATGATGTAGATTCGAGGGCAAAATGTGGTGAAAATGCATATTTAATAAACCTACAAAGTAAAAGTTATATAATGCAAGGTCTGCCAACATAAATTCAAAGTGTGAGAAACAACTTTGCAAAGAAAATTTATATTTCATTTATGATTTTGACCTTAAATAATTGGAGATTTGCTTTTCTTATGTGATGAATGCTAATGGGTACAGGATTATTTTTATCTATCATTTTGAACCACTGTATAATATTAAAAAAAAACTATTTTATTTGTTGTTTATATTTGTAGTATTTCTTCCCTTAATGCAACTTAAGATATACGAAATGTATTTAATGAATATTAATAAAGCTGACTTTTTGTCATGTTGTTGTTTCCAAATATATTATGAGTTTCTGATATCGTTGTAGACAGCTTTGATTGGTTTGCATTTCACTTGACATTTTTGCTAAAGGGTCTTTGCTAAAACAAGCATTAAACTTCATTTAATCTATGCAATATTTATGTTGCTACTGCAAGCTACTAAGAACATTAAACACAAGGCTATACAAAATGCCTCCAGTTTGTAAGCTTACATGGTGATCTTTCTGAATGCTCTAACTGTGACCTCAACTGTGAAGTAAACTGAAAACTGATGCTCTCCTCAGTCTAGTGTAATTTTTCCCCATCCACTGAGAAGTTTCCTTTGAATTTATTTAATGCAGTCGATTGAATCTCTTTTATGTCTTCAGTAATGTTCGCTGCAACATCTTTCTGTTCAGACTTTTCAACAATCACAATTCTTCAGATTCATCAGATGAGGAATGTTCAGCGTTCATTTTTCAAAAGGTTGACACAGATTTTCATTTGGGTGCAGATTCTTTAGTGTAGTACAGATTGCACTAACAGATATGTAACAGCAGTTCTCTGGCAAAGACAGACTCTGAGGCTTTTCATGTTGCATTATACAAGAGATACTGATCGCCGCTCAATTAGGCCTCCGAGTAGGATGTTAGCCACATGGAGTTTAGGTGCCAGATCGCCAGAAGATACTAGGGGTATGACAATGAGTTGGGTACTGATGAACTGACCAAATGTAGTTTGGAATTTATTAAAAGATGACAGTACACTTTGTTTTTGCAAAAGACTAGAGCACACAAGTCACTTTGAGCAATCAGGAAGAGACAAAACTGTAATGGCATTGTTTGTACAAAGTTAAATTGCAGCTGGGCATAAACTAATGCAGGAGAACATATCATTTAAACTTATGGACAGTTAATTAAAAAATAATCAATTTAGAAACTAAGATATTAATGCTGAATTATGTACAGAGTTAAATATAGTCAACAGCATTGAGTATAGGGGGAAGTGTGCTGCTATATTTTTATTGAGGCAGGCAGCATATGGTTTGGCTGAGTAGGCAGTGGCATAATAGGTAATGACTGAGACAATTATATTTTGTGCAGATCTGGTGCTGCTAATGTTAGTGGCCCATGCTGACAACTTCATGGGAGCTGGGTTTTTTAAGGTGGTATCCTGAAGTCTGTAGGCAGTCAAATACGTAATGGTCTGCTTTTCCTTCCCTACCACATATGCAAAGATCTGTGTCATTGCACTGGAAGCAGTGCAAATATGCTGAGAATGAACCATGTCCAGAGAAGTATTGTGTCAATGAAGCGGTGCTGCTGCATAACTCTATTGATACTTTTGGAAAGAAAAAGAATTTCACTGCGACCTGTGAGAGCTGTGAGCCATCTTTTCTACCACTTTTTGAGCATGTGCTCCTGAGTGGTCCAAGTATCCAGGCTTTCTTGTGCTGTGTTTTTAAGGCTGCTCCTACCAGTTACTATTAGAAGAAAGTTGTCAGTGTAGGCAATTGCCTTTGTAGCCTTTGCATTTGCCTTTGTAGTTGTCAGTGTAGGCATGCAGTTTTAAACAATGCTCCGTAGTTGTCAGTAGTCGGAGAACAAAACTGATGCCAGGAAGTTAATTTGGCAGCTTTTGTGTTGCACTTATACTCAGCTCTCGCTCAATGATGTGCTAGCATGCAAGAATTTCTGAGCATTTCTTCTAGCACCCTTCTCCTTAAAGCTGTCACACAGCTGTGTTCTGCCGTGAGAGCTGGGAACCACGAGGAAGTGTTTTTGGCTGGGACCAGTGACTTATATCTATAACCTATAAGCATGTTTGCAGGTGCTTATTGTGCATTCTGTCATGATTGTGTATAAGAGGTCTAATGTGGATGTGTCATTACTTTTCATTAAAGACATTATTAGGTTGTTAACATGTGTCCTCAGATTTCTATAGAACTGTGTATGTCCTCTGTAGGAAGTTTTAAAATGACATTTTATTAGATATAAGATGGTGGTACCTGTTGAGAAAGTAATAATCTTGTGGTCTGTAAAAGAGGGAATATCAGGATTTGACCTGCTGAACAAATTTCACAGAAGTCTCTGGGCTGAACTTAAAACATTACAAAAGAATTTTCTTTACATGTGTATAATTATCAAGCTCTTCTTCTGGCTCCTGTCAAATGATAGAAACAATGTCCATTGGCAGTTCAGCCATTAAATGAGACACGAGACACCTAGTCTCCTTTGTTTACATTTGCTTTGTGAACCTGACACTCAAACGTCACTTCAGTGAAATATCGGATAGTTTGGAATAATTGCGATTCTCTTATAGACCTTAGGAATATTATTTCGAGAATTTAGTTCTTATTAGAGTTTGGTTGTTATTCTAATTCAAACTCTTGTCTCCCTTTCCTTGAGTCTACATTCTTTGTTTTCATTGAGCCTATATGCTGTTTGATCTGAGCTTCAGTAATTGACTCCACCAATGCCTCAAAAAATTTTTCATCATATTGAGGACTCTGTACGATGAGTTTTTAAGATCTTGTAATTTTGCATTGGGTTGGGGAACCTCTAAACTTAATTCTACAGACAGATTTATGAGGTCTTGTTTTCTGCCCTTCATCCAGGTATGATATTTTGCAAATTCAGAAAAAAGCAAAAATCAAGATCATATGATACAGTGCAAAATAAATATTGGCTCTACAATGGTTAAAATTTGTTTTATAAACAGTTAAATTATGCCTCAGTTACAAAGATTATGTGAGAGAGATAGAAAGTCTTATCTCAAATGCTGTGATTTCCTGAGTCCAATCAGATATGTAGGAACTTGCATTATCATGATGGAATACCACTCTCTGATGATTGATCCTCAATGGGTACTTTTTCTACCAAACATTATGAAAATGATCAAGCTATTGGTAGTGCACCTTTCCATTTAATGTTTGGTTCAGTAGTAGAAATTTATGGTAGATCACTTCAGTAAAATCTTATCATAATCTTGATATAATCTTTTGTGCATAGTATCCTTGTTTTGTTATGGATCCTGGAGATGCATGTGTTCTATAAATAATCCTGCATTATTTAATATTGTTTAAGGAAAACATTTTTTATGTTACTATTTGATGCAGAGTTCCAAATGCATTTCGCAGGTCAAGGTTTAAAACACACCGCTTTACTGTTCTGTGTACATCTTTTTCCAGTAAATCATGTGTCCAAATTTATCACAAATCTGAAGGTGTGATTCAGTTTCTCCAGTGTCATCTTATAACCCTATACTGCTGTGCTAATTCTGCTGTAATAATTTTGCTGGCTTGCAGGTTCAGGGGTATTCATGATGTTTTTATTCTGAGATGCATTTCACCATCTCTGAAACTCTTAAATCAATATTAGCATGTGTCTTCAAATCTAGTGTTTAATTTTGTAATAGTAAATTTGCCATATATACTACATATATGTTCACATTCTTCTGCCTGTGGTGCTTTAGATCATATTTGCTCAAAAATTAATGCTTGATATATACTTCTTTTTTAAATTTTAATTTTTCTTTCTTGCTTATTATTTACAAGCAGCATGCTCTGACAATATATGTGCCTTTTACTAGTTATAAACACTGGATAATTCCATTCTGCTTCCAACCAGTCAATGAGCACAAATTAAAAGTTTCCAAGATCTACTCCCGTTAAAGTGCTGAAACTTTCCTACATATCCAGAATTATCCTCAAAGTGGAATATTGCCTCTTATTAGTAAAATGCAGTATCCTCAAAGTGGAATATTTCCCCTTATTAATAAAATGCAGCCATTTGTTGGTGTTCAAATTGTTTTGTCCATCACCTGTATTCTGAGCAGAAAGTATGCAATAAGTAAATAGTGAAGTCTGTTAAATTTTTAAATGACTCTTGAAATAGTTTTATTTGAATATTATATCAAGAGACTGTGCTTTATTTATTTCAGTGAAGGATTTTTAGCCCAAAGAGCTCTTAGTCTCAAAATGACATTTTGTGTCGTTTCACTTCCTTCATTGGTTCACTTTTCAAACTGTTGCCATCAAATATTATCGCCACATATTATATTTAAAGAAACTAAATAATCTTCATGAATTCATGAATCTTTCTCGCATTGTAGGAAAACAAAACTGGTACCTAGGGCCATCCAATTTTGAATAGCATAGTCCTCCAATTGAACATGAGCACTTGGAAGCCTGAATTTTGAGTTTTGAATTTGTTTTATTATCTATTTCAAATTTTGTTAAACTTTAATGAATTACTGAATAACAAACTCGGCGATTTGAAAGCGAGCAATGGCAACACTGTACGGAAAACATTTTTATCTCCAGCACGGGAGACTCTGTATCGGAAAGTCTGAAGATGTGCTGTTTTTAAATACTTTGTGATATTGCTGTTGAATTCAATTTTATGCTGTTTAAGTGCAAAGAACTTGATATTTAATAAAGGTAACACACAAGGCATTAAAAAAAGCCCTTTTGTGAGTAATATAATTTTTTTTAATGTTAATAAGCATTTTTTAAATACACCATAGTTAATGCTTTCTTTTTCTTTCTTGATTAGATCTCCAGAAGACTGAAGTTGCCATTTAGCTTATCATTGTGCAATTTGTACTGAGAATGATTGTGTCACTGTGTATTTGCACTAAAGGATGAAGGAGCTAACCTTCTGCATTGCTGTAAAGCATTTGCAGTATAATACAAAGTGTGCATTATTGGCTATTTTGTAGAATTTATAAAAGTGCTTTTGTATATATTTATGTTTGAAGTCATTCCACTTTGGACTTCTTTTAGCCTTCTGTAATTATAAATTTTGAGTCTATATAGAAATTTCTTTGGGCATTTTTGTTTTAGTTTTGGTAAACTGTTTAAGAATATGCAGTATTTTTCAAATTGCAATTCCCTACCCCAGGTCATTATTTATTTGATAAATTACAGAACCTTCAAGTCTTATTTTTGTTATATGATAGCTTCTTAGGAGCATTTGTGTGCTTTTCCTTTAGCTTTACTATATTAGCATTGTTACTAGAAAAGTTATATATTTGTATAATTTTCTTTATTTTTGTAAACTGTTACATACATTTTTTTAATGAAAAAAAGTTTCTATGGGTGAAATTTACAAGTGAGACTAGGCTGTTGTGTTACAGTGTTGTGTATAATTGTGTATTTTTATATTTTGTTTTTGTTTATTAAACCAAGTCAGAAAACATTTCATACATTTGAAATTCTCTATCTTTCTGTACAGAACTGTATTTTTCAAATGGGTATTGCATTTATTTATTTATTTGTAAAACTTTGCTCAGTTAATGGACTGCAATTGAAATAACAGATCATTTGGTATCCACTTTATATGTATTGTATTACCCAACTTAACACTGGGCCTTAAAATGTGGAGACTGTGCTCAAATTGTAGCTAGATGAAAATTCAAAATTTATGAAATGTATTGTGTGAAACAGTGGTCAGATCTTCATATATTTTTTGTTGGTATTAATGCCATTAGGCATTTATTGGCATGGTAAATGCCAACAAATGCCTAATGTTGGTAAATGAACACAATTTTAATGAATTTTGATGATTTTCAATAGGAATACTCCTGATGAAATTGAAAGCGCAAATAAGCAAAATTACTAATACAATGAAAAAGTAAAATAATGTTGAATCTTATATATAAATAAGGAATAAAGATAAAAATGTTCACATTAACAGTGATAGCCAAATATTATGCATTTTTTGCTATTTTGCTTTTGTGTGTGAATTATGTTTTCATATTATACAGTAATTTTCATATATTTTTATATCAGATGTATAATTTGTTTACAGCTTTAAAATAATTATTAGACTTGAAGAATTCTCTGTATATGCTGGGCTTAAAATTGTTTATCCACCAAAATTAATAACAGAATTTTTCTATTTTCTATTCCATTAAAATATAGTGAAGTCTGTCATCATGATAAGCTTTCTATGGTTGGCATAAAAAGTTCATTGTGTATCTGTTATGAAGGAGGAGGATCTATCTGTATGGTTTTCTTTTTTAAGGGCACATTCTTGTTTGAGTATATTCACATCTAGTTTATTGCTAGAGTACATTGCACATTAATGAAATAATCTTCAGATTGTCATTCCATATTGCTGCCTTGATTGGTATGATGATTAGTAATGCTGGCTATTATATCGTGGGACCCGTGCTCTAATCCCAGAGAAGCATAGATGTTTGTAAGTGGTATGCAGGCACTAGTTGAAGTACTGGTGAGACAAAATTCTAAATTTATGATTGCATATAAAAGCATATTAGAGGAAAGTAACCATAACAGTTAACTTTTAAATTATTCCTTTTGGATAAAACCAAAAAAAGAAGGGGGGATAATTATACTCTTTCTCTCTCTCTTTCATGTGTGCTCTTTCTTTCATATTTTATTTTTGTTCTGAAAATGAAGTATTTAATCTTATAACAAATAATAAAGCCAAAAACAATAAATATGTAGGAGAATGAAAAGAATTAACCAATGAAGTAAAATATTATATTTTCTCGATGTTTTATTTTTATCCAAAGTTAAATAATTTTGTATTCAGCTGCTAGAATAACATGTAAATACTTAATTTTATTAAAATAGTTGTTTATATTTCTTAACAGCATCAAAATATTATTGTTGATGAAAGAAATATTTTTTGATTTTATGAGACAATCAAAACTTCAAGTAATAATATTGGATATCAAGGTATATTGAAATAATTAAGATTATTACTAAAGATGTATTCTATTTTATACATTATCTGTACATTTACAGAAACTGTATAATCTGGTTATTTAGGAGCTACAAATGATAGTGCACTTTATGTGATTAGTACCTGAGGTTTAGGTTCTTATTTAGAATTTAAATCATTTTGTTAATATTCTTGTATACTATCTGTTAAAAAATCGCTTTCAACAACAATAATTTTTTATTGTATCTGCTAGCTACCAGACATATTTCTCGATTTAGGAATTAAAAAGGGAAACATTTGTGTGATGATCGGAAAAATGAATTAACAAGTGCTATACTTTGAATTCTAAGATAATGAGCAAAGTTTCAAACTGATTTTCAAATTTTTTAATTCAAATTTACTTTTTACTGGTGTACAGTGGAATTTGTATGTGGAGAATGTTTTTGTAAATTGCAAAGTTTTGTGGATATTGATTACCCCTGCCCCCAACAGAAAGTTGAAACTAGTATGTATGATTTTTCAAATATTAAAATTATATCGTTTAAAATATACTGGATGGAAAATAAAATAACATGCTACCAAACCTGAAGTTATAGCTTCAGTTTTTATTTTCATTTTGAAGATATTTTAGAAGGAAAAGAAAGTTTTTGCTATAAGATGGCATTACATAACATTTAATATGTGTAAGATGTTCTTCAAATAGTAGAATGGTCCAAATATTGTATCTTGGAATAAAGCTAGGTAATATATTTTATTTTTTCTTCTAGTGTAAGCGTTAGTCTTAAATTTTATTAACACATTTTTAAATGTTTTCCTGTGTATATAGGAGCGATGATTTTTAGCATTTTAAAGAAGAAAAGGTAATATTTTATATTCCAATCAATATACATTATTCAAATTTATTGTGGAATTTTTATTCTTATCCTGCAAATAAGTTAACAAGGTATTCATGTTTGACAGTTAGCTTTTGGTTTGCAGGGTATACTAATTTCTACATCTTAATTTATTTTGATATTTGTAATATCTAAAATAAACTATTTCAATTAATTATTTTTTAATTTAATTACACTATTGTGTAATAAATGAAAATCAGTTTTAAAGCCAAATGAAATAAAAAATTATCATTACTAGGGAGTTTGTTATCAAGTTGAAACAGGATACTCTTAAATTATAATTCAGAGAAGTTTACTGTTTCATAAGAGTTTTAAAATATGTCAGAGCCTTTTGAATATCAGTTTGGAAAATTTCGCAGAGCAACCCTCATACTTTCTATCTTGATTTCTCTCTTGATAGTAACTGGTTCTTGACTTAAGAGCGCAAGTTTTTTACAAGCCTAAGACACAACAAGCTTAGATTATTTAAGACCAATGACACAGACAGTGACCAACAACACAGAAGAGATAAGAGAATCACAAATACAAATTTTTATATGATTCAAACTGGCTTTAACTATTAGTTAAATTCCCTTCAAGAAAAGAAACTATAAATTCCTGGAAGGGAGATAGGAAAAATGGAGGGAATTGAAACAGCAAAAAATAAAGATTACATAATCAAAATTGCATGGGGCAAAAAGGTTAAATCTTGGCATCATGTAAGTACAGCAAAGCAAACAGAAAACTTTCCATATTGTTATTTATTAAATATATCAGTAATTAGTTATATTTAATTACATGTAAATAAAGAAACTTGTAGTTGAACCTCTATTAACCCTCTGAGTGGCGCTGTATTTTAGTTCCGTCATGAAGACCGGTATTTAAACAGTATTTATTAATTTAGTTTGTATAATTACTTATTTTAGTCTGTATTTTCATAAACTTTCATTCATTAAGATTATATTTACATTATTAAAGAAAGTAAGAAAGCAAAATATCTTAAATTATTAGCTATTATATGCCAAGTAGCTAAACTTCTGATAACCAGATAAACTCGGTCATAACGATCAGAGGGTTAATGGATATTACAATTTAGTAAACACTTCCTAAATTTCCAGATCCTTGAAATAAGAGATCAGTGCATTCCTGGACAATAGATCCCATGAATGTGTTAATGAAGGTTCATCTGCATTTATATGTATTAGATCAGTTTATTACCAAGACATATATAAATAGTATGTATGTATTTGTAAAATTTTTGCATTCACCTCTGTAATTATATGGCTAGACATTCAAGAACTATAGTTAGATATTTTGGTTTTATATATTATTTGAATCAGTCAGAAAATATTAAGTGGGATAACATTGTGACATGTGGTAAAAAGGAGGATGAAATGAAAAGTTTTAAGAACTACCAAATTAGATAAAAGAAAATACTTTGCATCTGAAATATAAAGAATTGCATTAAATTATAACAAAGCATACAAGGGCTATATTCCTAAAGGAAAGGATGCCTTTGCAAAAAAAAACTTTTGAAGAGAAATTAGCTCATAGTTGCATTGCATGTTGGGAAAATCACGGAAATTCTCATGCAACCAGCTCATTTGTCAAGATTTGAACATAGATTGAACTACCAGGATCAAGTGATTTTCTCTCTTGGTTGAAATTTTTTCTACTATCTTGTATATACTTCATTTCCGAGGTTACGGCCTTCTTTACCATCCTCTTTTTTTAGCATCATCTCTCCTGCCCTTGAGCAACCTCTTAAGTAGTAAGCTTCTCGGCCAAGGGGATAACGAGACCTTTTTTACCTCCGATACCACCAAATGTGGGCAGAAGTATAAATAAATAAAGCCTATCTGTTCTAGGATTATATATTGGACACAGCCCCCTAGCCTACCTAGCTGCCGAAGCTGATCACATGAATAATGGGGAACAGGCCAGTTTAACCACAAAAGATGGCAGCCAGCAGCCCAGCTGTTCTCATAGAAAATCTAAAGCTATTGTAATAATTAATTAAAATTTAAGCATCAAAATTAGCTAGTCTCCAGAAAACCAAGCCCTAGGTCTGAGTAATAAAAATGTTAGAAAAATGAAACAAAGTACTAAAATATGACCAATGAGTGACAATCCACTCACTCATCAAGCCTAAACTTACAAACCACACCAAAACGAACCCCCCTCCAAAAGAAGGTTTAATACATATGTAAAAACAACACAGAATTAAAAAAATCATACATTCATAAACATCCACATTAAAAAAAATCAAAATATCCCTATTATTTCTCAATTCTTGGTCTGCATGATCTTCCTGCAAAATCTAATAAATTTTTGATTTTCTCAAAACCTTCACAATATATTCTTCTGTATATCTCTTCCTTGCGCTCATGGTCAAAACACATTCAACAACAAAGTGCTTAGTGACCCCATATATAAAAGCTATTGTAGGATTGTCTGAGTAGACCTTTCCAGAAAAAATTGCAAGCTAGAATATTTAATCATTTTCATTACAGATTTAACTGTTTAACTAATTTGGGCATACACTGTGCAAGGGTTGCTATTTGTATTTCTGGCCTAATGTTGAAAACAAAAATTATGACTGAAATTTGTTTTATTGTTTTTCAAAATATTTTCCTTGAAGATCAATACATTTCTGCATGCGTTTGAACTAATTTTCGAAGCACTTTTACCACTCCGATTGAGGTAACTCCAAAGCATGCATTTTGAATGCATCAACCACTTCTTCAGGTTTCACAGATTGCTGATCATATAATTTATTTTTGATGTGCGGGAATTAAAAAAAAAGTCATTGGATGCAAAATCAGGGCTGTACAGCAGATGACACATCGATTCGATGTTTTAGTGTGTCAAAAATTTCTTCGTTTAAGCCAATGTGTGAAAGCTTGCATTGTCGTGATGAAGAATGATTCGCCTCTTCTACTTTTTTTTTTTTTTTTTTTTTTTAATTTCTCTGATGACTTCTGGCAAACAATTTGCTCATGTACAATTCGGAATTGACTGTCCAGCATTGCTGTAATACCACTGTCGCACGTGGCCGGTGTGCCGAACAAACAGGCAACCATTTGCTTCATCCGCAAACAACTTTTGTTGGATTTGGCTCATCTTGGAAGAACCATACAGTCGACTGCTGTTTTATTTGAGGCTTATATACTAGATTCATGATTCCTCACCTCTGTTGATGTTATACACAGCCTTTGATGGACCTTGAATGTATTTTTCCAATATTTCCTTGCACCAATCGACACAAGCCTTCTTTTGAGCGTTTGTCAGATTATGTGATATCTATCGTGAACAAGTCTTTTTTTTATGGCCAAATGTTCATGTAATATCTTATTGATGCTTGTCATGCTAATGCCCTAAGATACCTCAATCTTATGGTATCTCACATGATAATCATGCTTTATCAATTCACACACAGCATCGATATTTTCTGGCACAACAACCGATTTTGGACAACCTTCACTGAATTCGTCCTGGAGTGAATATCAACTAAGACTGAATTCATTATTCCAGTTTTTTACAATGTTGTAGGATAATGCTTTATCTTTGCATAAAGAAGTTCATTGAAGCACTCTTGTCTTAATAATCCACATCAGAAATTATGAAAAATAAGTTAACGAGTCAGTTCCATTTTTTGCCCGAGACGAATTTTTCAGTTTACCATAAATAACACATACCACACTAAAATGACAAAATGTTCTGAAGAATTTATAGTTAAAAATATCAAACTTTCGATTAGAATTGTATGCGGTCACCTAGCAACACTTACAGTTGCCAAGGCTAGAAATATAAATAGCAACCTTTTTACTTGTGTTGCATCTTGACTTGTCTGTGTGCCAT